TATAAATGGTGCCATTTAATAAACAGAATTTCAGAATGTTAATTGATCCACAACAGTAAGAGTAACTACTATGTTTAGTGAATCCTTTGACTAGCAAAAAGGCCTACCTGTAAGATAAACAAGAAAGATTGCCTTCTGTGGGGTTAACACTATGCCTTTTCTAAGAACAAATGAACAAAAACCACCATCTCCTGGCTTCCATACTATGGAAAGACAGACAAAAACTGTACACACTGCCTTTGTCTTGGCTAGAACATAGGAGTCTTCGGGTTCAGAAAGAAAAGTCTGTGTTTTATCTTACCAATGATAAAAATAAAAGATATCTTTTCCAGTGAGAACTCTCAGAGGTCCATGGTCTGAGGACTCACTTTCAGGGCCCAAAGGGACATAGAAGTTTATTCTGAGGCCTGTCCACATAGCTAAGGTAGAACTTTCCTCAGTGACTCTCCATGTACACTCAGCAGAAGCTTGATTCTAGTCAGCTTGCTTTGTTTATCTCAGGAGCATCATTTCCTGTGCCTCTCCTTTTGAATATGCAGCTAAAGACTTTAAAAGAAACTGTGGAAAGTAGAGTGAGACCAAGAGTGACCTCTGCTTTCTAAGCATGGAGCTACAACCCCAGCCCTCTCTGAAGTCTAATATGTATTGCATATTATGCATGCATGTGTTGATTACCATTATGCAGCTGTTCCTAAGCACTTAGGAGTCTCCTTTCCCACACATATCTTCCTGTGTGGGAGACCTTTCATTGTTATTTTTGCTGCCTATTCTGTGAATCTCCCTGACGACTAGCTCAATATGCTTTCCAGCTGCCTCTTATTAGTAGTGCTAATATAAAAGTGAAAGGATCTTTAAAATAATTCCTGCAACAGCTAACTTCATGCCCTATTATAATTCAAAAAGTTAGTAAATGAGGTATCTCATAGTCCCAAAAGAGAGTTACACTTTCTTGATGAGATCCTCATGTTCGTTCTCTGTGCTATCATTAGATCACAGGAAAACAATCTCACCATTCCTGACATCAGAGAAAGCAAGATTGGGAATGAGAAGCGGCATCTATCATCCAGCACAGGCAGAGGGATCGCTCCCTGCTCTGCCCTCCCACATTTATCCTCCCCTGTCCTCATCTCCCCAGTGCTCCTTCCCTTCTGCACCATGAATACTTCATCTTTCCTACACTACCTATACAGAGGGCTAAGACTGATTCGTTACTGTTCCCAACTGCCACCAACCAGCAGTCCTCCAGGGTCTTTCTCTCTCTCTCTCCCTCCCTCTCTCTCTCTCTCTCTCAAACACACACACACACACACACACACACACACACACACACACACACACACACACACTTGCCCCTTAGAAGGTACTGAGTTATTATGGGACTGGAGAGATGCCTAAGAGCTCTACAGCAATTGCTGCCTTGCAAAAGATCCAAATCCAGTTTCTAGCACCCATATGGCAGTTCCTAACTGTCCTTAATTCCAGTTCTAAGGGATCTGATGCCCTCTTCTGGTTCCATCAGCATGGGGCATGCATATGATGCATATGCATGCAGGCAGGCAAAACAGGCATATACATAAAATAAAATGAATCTTTTAAAATAAAAAGTCAGCCATTGTGATGAGATGAACATAGGACACAGAAGGATTCTCACGGTTACCCAGGCATCAGCTCTCCTCTAATGGCGAAACCTGTTCTATCATTTCATCCATAGAAACAGCCTATGCCTGCTGCTGTAGTTTCCTTTCCTATTGCTGTGATACTAACATGTAAAAATACCCTGACAAAAGCATCTTAAGGGAGAAAGGATTTATTTCATCTCACAGTTCCATCATAGAAGGGAAGTCACATTAGCAGGAGCTTGAGAGAGCTGTTCACATTGTATCCATCAGGAAATGGCAGTAATCAATGCATGGGTGCTTCTACTCAGTTTCCCTTTTCATTTATTCAGTCCAGGATCCCAGTAAGAAAATGGTGCCACTCACAGTGTATGGGTCTTCCCACCTCAATTAATGTAATCAAGACAGTTCCAAGAGGCCAATCTCCCATATGATTCTGGGTTCTGTCAAGCTGACAGTTAATACCTGGAGAGACCTCTGACTTGCCTTGGGGATGGATTGTGACCCAGAACAGAACTCAAAAGTGACTAGCATTGAACACCTTACTAAAATGCATCCTGTGCTTGATAATGATGCCAAGAGTTGTTTTCACTGCATCAATGGCTACAGACCTTCAGGTGTGCCCCTGTAAGCTAAGAAGCTCACTGATACCATCCCCACCCCCAAGAGATATGGCTTCTTTGTACCACAAGAAAGCAAACAAACAAAAGCATACCTTTTGGCCAAAATAATGACCTTCATTTGATATGGAAGCAAGTGCAGGGTGATGATGAAGGATGAAAACTCCAAAGCACAATAATAGCTTTCTTTTAATGATTTCCTTTGAAATCGCCTACTTCCCAGCCTAACTATAATTTGACTAATTGCTTAATAATTCTGTTTAAATGTCATTATTTCTGCAAGTATCAGTTCATTAGGCCTGGTTTTTCAGGTTGAAAGACCCCTTCACTTCCTTGAGTCTCCTCTGTCCCTTCTTCCCGGGTACCTGCTGCCTGAGCCACATTCTAATGATGCAAATAGAATTCCTTCAAAAAGGTGTTGAGCAGATCAAGGTGTCTCTTTGTGTTCTGTAGCCTGAGTAATGTAATCCATGTCCTTGAAACAGTACCTGTGATGGGAAAGATCTAAGACTGTGTCTTTTAAAAGCCAGCTTCCATGCTGTAGCCGTGAAGCTGTGATCACAGCCACCCTAGGCCACTCCCACAGCAAGAGGCATGCTGCACTTGACATAGTGAGAGGCTGCATGGGAAACTGAAGCATAGACTTGGGAGCCCACAATTCCCTAGGGAAAAAAAAACAAAACTAAAACCTTGCTCAAAGCAGTGATCTTCTTAGGACAGTGTAGCCACAGACCCTGTGTGAGGGAGGAAGATGCACTGCTTAAAGCTGAACAAGATGGCTATGTCCTTTCAGGGACAAGCTTGTGTCTCACCTGTTCTGGCGAAGGGGAAGTAGCTAGACTACTAAACATATTCTAGCATGTTCTCCATTATCCTTCCCTTCTACAGTCCACCAGCTGTAAATTTACAGTGACTTTTCATTTCACATGAAGGATGGCTCTAGTGTCCGACTTTCAAAAGTCAAGTCTCTTTGCCCAAATGCTCATATAACCAAAAATGAACTAGCACAGGAATTCCATGCTTTCTTGTCACTTCGAAAAAGAACAGTTAGAAAACAGGTCTAGGTCTTCTTCCCTGAAAACTTCTTTCGATCGGTGATATATAGAATAACAATAAGAAAAAACATAAAGAAAAGGATCACGTGGAAAACTAGGGGGTTGAACGGCTACAAAGCCAGAATCACTGAAGAGGGAGGAACTGCATATACTTGGAACACATGGGGCAGACAGCTCATTACTGGGAGATCCATGCTATTTCCATGGGTGTTTTGTGAGATCTAGTTTTGAAGGCATGTATATTGACAAGTTTACCATTGGGAGATAGAGAGAGTGGAACTCACTTAAAAAGTAAAGAACTAATTGTACACTAGTACTGCCCAACTAAAACTTGTTTTGTGGGTTATAGGAGTCTATTTCTGCTTACCCCAGAGAAATAGAGAATAACAAACCAAAGAAATTATTCCACCCAAGTTCAGCGTGATGAGCCAGTTTGTTTGACTAGAGTTACATGGCATGTCAATGTACCAACAGTCACAAAACCTATTCATCTTCTCTCCCTCCCCTAAACAGTGTATCCTTCAAGGGCCTGGTGATTCCTCACTTCCTCCCATGAGGGAATAGTACTGGGCCCAATCTTTTATGAGGGTGATCACAGCTGTTCTGATTTCAGCATAGCCATGCCATGCTCAGAGCACAAAGTTTCACAACATGGCCACAGGGGATAGTGAGCAGAGGCACACTTCATCAAGATCATCCAAGGGCATTTTGCTTGAAATTTCCTTTAAGCTAAAATGTCACCTCCCTCTCAGAGTCCCATTCTTTCTCTTTGGACCAAATCACCCTGCCAAGTGAGGTGAATGCTGATTAGATGGCTCTGAGAAAGAATGGAGACAGAAGGCTTCCCTCCTATATGACTGGACCAGCGAGAGATACTCACTGCCACTCCGGTCTCCACATGCACCTTTCAGCAGTTCTCTGAGAGCCACAAGATTCAAGCAACAGAGAACACGCAGAATGGCATCTCATCTAACCAGAGTACAAAGCCTGAGGATGTAAATAGAGCTTGAATTATTGGGTGTGAAACAGACTTTCAGACTAATTGATCTATGTGTATACAATTGATTTTTATTTATTATTCTTCAAATCACACTATGAATTACTTTGGGATAATCTAGAATTTGAAATGATGCCCTCAAAGAACTATAATGACACACAGCTATTTCTCACCCCGTGCCTTTTTTACTTTGTCCTCTCCTGGGTTCTTTTTCTTACTAAATAACTAAATTCTCTGAGTCTTTGGCTTCCTATGCATTTTTATTCCTCTGGTCTCAGCTGCCTTGCCAAAAGTAGCCAAAGATACAGTTAACAATGACATCATTGTTTTGAATACTTGGAGAATTCTGGGTACTGACTTAGACTGTCCTGAGTGCTGCTTTATGTGTGACACTCAACAGGCATCCTCACCTCATGAGGTAAGTGCTACTGTTAGATGCATTTGCAGATAAGAAAATGAAAACACAAAAAGATAAAACAATTGCCCAGCACCAAACAGCTAGCAAGAGTCAGGGTCAAGGAATGACCCCAGCATCCTCGTTCTCAGGACTGAGCTTTTGCTCATTACAAACCTCTCCCCCACAATATGTGTCCCTGCATAGTGTGAATGGAATTACAAACAGGAGTGTTGCCTTTGGTCTCTAAGAAGATAGCAGTGAGCTCTTAACTTACTTTACCTTTAACTATTCTGTTTTTCCCTCCCACACTCTCAGACGATGGAAATGCTTAAGGCAGACTAAGGTAGTGTGAGACCTCACCATGTAAGTGTGAGCATGGCTCTTTGTGGGTACCGTATGTTTTGTGCGCTTCTGCCTTGCGTTCCCGCATGTTTGCTCCGCTGTTCTCCGATTCCCGCTTCCAGCGCTTGGCACTTCGGCCGCATGAACTGTTTTTTAAGCCATAGATCCTGTGTCTTTGTTCCTGATTTTATACCTGAGCTTTACCCACACACAAAGTCCAGCACAGGGCAAGAACCATAGAACACACAACTGTCTGCCTGGTATCTTCCCGGCAAGCTGGGAGTCCTGAAAATACAATGGGTTGCTGTTATCTGGCAATAAGTTGGGGATTGTAAGCTTCAAGAATGCTAGGCCTTTACCCATGCCTAACTGCAACAGACCACTCCAAGGTGGAGACCTGCAAAGGCCATGACCTTCACCAATTACTGGACCTGTTCAGTGTTCTCTGGGGCAAGGGTCTTAAATGGACTGCTGCTCTGTCCATAGGAGTCCATCACACCAGGTAACAGGAGATATGGAGAGGGGTGGGAATCTTTTCATTTATTTATTTTCTCTCTGCACATAAGTATATAATAAACATGCACACATATGTGGAGAATAAAACATATTATAAAAGAGAAAGGATAATGGCCTTAAGTTAGACATGAGTAAAGCAGGCCTTCACTGTACACACACACACACACACACACACACACACACACACACACACACACACACACTCACTACTCCTCTTGGTGTCCCTTGATCCTACACAAACCATATTTGCACTCCAAGTAAATTTAATATAGGGCAAGTTACATTTCTAGAATAAGAAACTTGATGAGGGGAGATAGTTGTATCTAACAAGAGTATATCTGGAAATTTCGAAATACAGCTCTGGGGCTGGAGATAGAGTCCTGTGGTAAAGTGCTTGCCTGGCTTAAATGAGGCCCCAGCTTCAATCCCCAGCACCCCATATAAAATAAATACAATCCTGCCTTGCCGTTTGTTCCCTACCACACACCTGCACACCTGCATGTGTGCACATACCTGACGGTAGTTTGGAGCTTAAAACTACCTCATGTTCTCAATTTCACTTAAATGTTCAGTGTGTGTTGAAGTTATTGAGTTGTATTTTCTGAAATGATAAGAATTTAAAATTGAAGATGCTCTTATGACATCTGACCAAACAGTGTTTGAGACTCAAACTATGCAGTGTTAAGAACTCAACCCACTGTTTAGACATGCAGGAAGCCAAAACTTATTAGGGATGGATCTTTTGCTCCAACCCCTTAACTGATTGGGACCTCACAAGAGAAAGTAGTTTGTCCTGGATAGATTGGAGGCACATTAAAACCTCATTCTTCTCTTTCCACCAAAGCATCCCATCAGTACAGAGTCAAAGATCCTTTCTCTCTGGACAGAATAATACATAGAGCTCCAGAGCAACTTTGTAAAAATAGAAGTAAATGGGTCTGCATCCCCAGAAAGGGTTCCAGGTCCTTTCATGGCTCTGCCACTGGAGACATGGGCAAACTGAGGTAATGTGGCTCTCTGAATCATGGAGTCCTTGTTTGTAAATTCAGAACAGCTGACTGAAAGAAGTACATGTGCCAAGTTTGTTCAACAATTGCTTAATTAACACAAACTTGCTCATTGGGCTGGTTTGGGGGCAGCTTCCACCTTCATTTTCCACGGTATGTTACAGGGAAAGTCAGTCAGGCTGTGCAGGTAGGGACAGCCTTGAAAAACAAGAGCTGTATCTGTTGTTAACTGAAGAAAAACAAGGCCAAGGAGGAAAAATGTAAGTGAGACATGATCTTAACAAACTCACATGGACATGCATGTTTCAGGTTTAGCGTCTGATTTCTGAAATCTGGAAGCAGCTTATGAAATGTACAGATCAACAGGTGTCTATCTCCCAGGGTCCTGCTCACTAACTGAGCTCTGGAACCCAGGAGGCAAAGGTCACAGACTCTCTTTTCTAGTGTGTTGTTAAATTAAGGAGGCCAGGAACTCTGCAATACAGAATAACCTAAAAGCCAAAAGGGCAACAATAGAAACATACATGTGTCAGTGTTCACCTCACTTCTGAGCTATATCCCTTCATGTGTACAATTATGAAAATGTAAATATTGAGTAAATATGCAATGTCCTTTTCACAGGTTTCTTTTCCATAGCAAATACATGGACCTTTTGGCGAAACTTTTTTAGGGGCAAAGAATCATCACTGAATTTAACAGTTTGGCCCATTTTAGTTTTCAATGTAACTTTTCCCAAAATAGTCTGCAGGAACCCTCCATGAATCTGACGGTGATTCAAAGCTGACTGGGAGGAGAGGACCAGATATGGAATGTCACAGAGTTAATTTGGTGTTTACATCTTAGGTTCAGAAGCCACTGGATAAAATACAGAAAAGCAAAAACACTGTGACCTAGGGAAGTACTGACAGGCTAGAATTTGAGCTCCAAATTTTGGTCAAGAAGAGGCTTGGAAGTGATCCACCTGGCAGGGAAGTGTAGAGGGATTCTTAAAGCTACATCTCATGGCATTTTGCTTAAGACTGACAAATACAACCTGTTATATGGAGACCGCAGCAACTAGAAACTGTAGAAATGATCTACCAGCTTCTTGTTAGGGAGCATCAGTGTCCTGGTGTTACTAGTCTTCCACTTAGGAGAGCTGTAACACTTTCGGAAAAGGAAAACGGCATCTTCAGGAACCCGCAGGGCCAGTCATCCCATTAAGGAGGCTGAGCAGAGCAGATGTCAGCTCCTTGCCCAATACTTCTTTGACCAGAGAGCTCCCCCTGAACTAATCAGCCAGTGAAGAGTTAGGAAGGAGTAGGGGCTGTTTTTTATTCATTTTTTTTAAAGGCTTGTTCCCAATCCATCCTAAGCAGGTGAGGTCTAAGAAAAACGCTGTCCTATTGAGACCTCAAGTGGTGAAATTGAGAACTGCAGGTGAAGAATGGGAAAGAAAAGGAATGGGAGGAAGAAAGGGAGGAGGCAGGGAAGGCGAGCTCCTGTAAGATCCTACCCCTGACCCACAGCCTCAGCCTGAAATTCTTCCTAGATGGAAGAAAGGGGCACTGCTCCTGAGACCTCTGAATATCAGCCAAGGCTTGGTGACCTTTCACCACGTGAACATGTCCAGCCATCATTTCAGAAATCACAGAGAACTCTGCCTAGCTTAAGCATGTACAGTTACTCCAGAACAGTTCTGGAACCTACTGAGAAGGCTTTAGATTCATCCAGTCCTTTGTTTCTTTTTCCTAGGGGAGGCCTGAAACCAAACTGGGCCTCCAAGAGTCACAAGAGACAACCCACAGAACCTTGGGGTCAACCCATTCACACTTGTCCACCTGATCCTAGAGAGTCTTGCAGGCTGGCCTGATGCCTGGGGGCAATGGCCTTGCAGTGCAGTCCCTGTCCTTGCCCTTCCACACAGACAGGAAGCAAACCTGCCACCACTGCTGCCTCCAGCGCTGATTCTGGGGGCTTCCCAGAAAGTACATTATGCCTGACAGACAGGAGTCCAAATTGTTTTAATTGTTCTCCAAACACAGCCCCCAGATAAGCAACAGCATCATCCAGAAGCTAGTTCGAAATGTACATTATTGAGCTCCAGACCTAGGAATTAAACATGCTGGCAGTCTGTCCCAGATACTGTCCAAGTGACCGTGTGAGGTCACTGCCACACACTGATTTGCAAATGTCCAAGACAGAAGAGAGCAACTCAGTTTACTTCAAACGTGGTTTCTGGCACTGCCCCCACAGAGATGCAGCAGAACTCCATTCTTAACTAAGTGTCTGCTGTGATTCTGTGAGGGGAGCCCATAGTCTCCACTTAGACAAACTTTGCTCTGGAGAAAGGAAGCCTTCTCTGCAGTTCTTTAGCCTTCTCTCTGAAGATGGAAATAAACATTCTAACTTCTTACCAGGCCTGGAAGAGTCTGAAGTACCCCAGGTTCTCTGGGACTGTAGATGGGATCCTTTTGCCCTTTTGAAAAATTAGTCCTTCCTTGCTGCCACTAGAGGGGAATCACAGTGATGTGTGCCTCGGAGGTCAGTGGGGGAGGGGAGATGTGCCCTGCTGGGAGACCAGCAAGACAAGGATACTGGTGCACGGGGATTTCTGGACAGACAGCCGGCCGGCTCTTGTGTCTGAATCTCTAGACTGATCCTGAGAATCATGACAGGCTGGAAGTCTCACCCAGGCACGGTGCTCTTACTCTCCCCACACCTACAGGCACTTTCCAGCAGGGCCCAAGAGGAAAGTTTATTGTAATGCCACTAAAAAAAATGTTTTTAATTAGTTTTTAGACTTTGAAGTTATAGGCTGGGATGTAGGTCAGTTGATAGAGAGCTTGTCCAGCATGCATGAAGCCGTGGGTTCAATCCGTAGCACAGGATAATCCCAGGGTAGTTGGGGGTGGGGGCCGCACATCGGCCAGTAATTTACAACCCAGACACTGCATCCACATGGAGAGTTTATTATAATAGAGTTATGAAGAGAAAGATAGGAAAGAGAGAGAGAGAAAAAGAGAGAGGTAGGAGGTGAGCACCTTGTGGGAGAAAGAGCAGGGGAGAGAGAGGGGAAGGGGGAGGAATTTTTCCTTAGAATGAGGCTTTTACATCAGGACACAGGTCAGCGCGAAGGGGTCAGAATATTAACAAGTGGTGCACAAGATAACCCCAGCACTGAGGAGATAGAGGTAGAAGGATCAGAAGTTCAAGGTCATCCAAAGCTACACAGCAGATTGGAGGCCAACCTGGACTGCATGATCAATGCTTTTTTTTTAAAAAAAAAAAAAAAAAAAAAAAAAAGAGGGGGGTATAAATACTCTTGGCTTTTACAGCTGTGGCATTAGTCACACTGGGGGAAAAAAAGTTCCTGTTGGTGATGATCTTTTGGACGCTTCCTGGGACTTCAGGGGAAGTCCTGAAGTGGAACTCACCATTGTTCTTCTGTTCCGTGTAATTTTAACATCTAAGCCCATCCTCACCCCAGTACTTTTCAGGCACCCACACCTACTCAGA